GAGCATTTCTGTGCTGCAACAAAGAAATGCACCCTGCAAAGAAAGCTTCAAATTGGCGGGAAATTCTCCCTTGCACCGGGGTTCTCTTTTGCAGCAGAAAACTCCACCGTGCAAAGCAGCTGCAATTTAGCGGGAACAATTTAGCAGTGCCGAAGCACGCAAAACAAAAATCACACCCTTTGGGTTGTGACATAAACAAGCCTCAAGAACAACAAAAGACATAATTTTCTTGTTTTAATAAACCATATATAAAAGCCAGGATGGCAAAGAAAAATATAATTAGTATAAGAGACCTAAGCAGTCTGGTCAAACAGCATTTATATACTACCTTATTAATACTGTTGACATCTGTCAACTCATTCAACAAAAGCTTTGTTGCATCAGGGTTGATAGTAACCTTATGTAGAGTTTAGATTATGGATTGTACAGGATGGTTTGGATAACTCAGGCATGGAGTTGGATCAGATAACCTCCAGCCCTATTTCTCTATGATACTGTGACATTTGACTAACTTTATTATTGCTCATATACAGATTTCCTAATATACTAATTGTATTAAAAGAAACACTGAGATTTGTGAATAATATTGGACATGTTTTGCTGAAGTAATGGACAATATCCTGAATAAAGAACACAGCATTTCATTCCTTTACCAGAAGTTACAGATCAGGGGATATGGCAACAGGTATTGTCCATCCAGCCTCTTCTGATTAGCCGTCTTAATTCAATGATGCAGAAAGTATGAAAATTAATAGTTTCATAGATTCATAGATGTTAGGGTCAGAAGGGACCTCAGTAGGTCAAGTCCAACCCCCTACCCTAGGCAAAAAAGAGCACTGGGGTCAGACAACCCCAGCTAGGTGCTTGTCCAGTCTCCTCTTGAAGACCCTCAAGGTAGGGGAGAGTACCACCGCCCTTGGAAGCCCATTCCAGATTCTGGCATTCCCTGCTGTGAATAAGTTCTTTCTAATGTCCAACCTAAATCTGCTCTCTGTCAATTTGTGGCCATTGCTCCTAGTTACTCCAGGGGGTGCCCTAGTAAGCAGAGCATCTCCTATTCCCCGCTGTCCTCTCCTGATGAATATATTGGCAGCCACAAGATCACCTCTCAGCCTTCTCTTGTGAAGGCTGCAGAGGTCTAGGTCCTTTAGTCTCTCCTCATAGTTTCATTAATAATATGAACTGTTGTGATCTGTACCTATTTTCAGTACAGTGAGACTTGGCATATAAGATTTGGAATGACATCTCAGGAGTTAAACAATGAGAATTTTCCACTTCACTATACAAAAATATTGCAAGCTCACAAATGACAATGGAAAAAAAGAGACACAGTAGATGCCTGGAGTCTTCCATGGTCAGTGGTATACTTTTAGCCTAAGAGTATTGACTAGGGGACCCGTTCCAAAAATACACTATGAAAAAGGGAATCCCTGCAAACATCAATACATGATGCAGGAAAATCTAGTTATACACTCTCTAGCCAAACAAACCTCTTTCAGCCTCCTGTCTCATCCTCTGATCAACCATGTAGAGGCACAAGATTAACTCCTTAGAGCAGTGGTGCTCAACCTTTGGTGCACAGGCTTGTGCCCAGCAGGACTAGAAAAACTGACCACTGTCTTAAGATCTTTAACTTACAGACCAGGCACAGTAATGGAATAAATGTTCTACTGGCCTGTATGAATCAGTACACTACACTCAGCCAGGTCTCTCAAGAGTTCCATACACTGCAGCACATTTAACAAATATACATTTAGCGCATGAAAAGCTAAGTAAGTATGCAAAGAGCTAGCAAATAAATCATAGGACATGAGGACCAATAAAGTCCATAGATTGTGGAACACAAGCTTAATGTATTTTGGCTCATGCTTTTTTTTTTTTTTTTTTTAAACAGGGTTAAAAACATATTTACCGGAATCCAAGACAAGATTTTTTCTGCCCCGTTTAACATGGGAAATGAAGCCCCCTCTTCCCCCAGGTCTTGGATTTGAGTACAAGCAGCAGGAGGAGCAGGTGGCAGCTGCTGCCCTTCCACCTGCCTCAGATTTTCAGTTCCATGGACATGGAATCTGCTGCCGAAGTCACCCTTTGCCACTGAATTACAAAATATTACACTCAATTTCAAGATTTTAAAAATAAAATCTACCCTGATGGCTCCGGTAAGAGTCTCAAAACCATAGGCAGAGGATATCTACCCAAGTTTTTAAGAGCTTCAAAGATTTGGAGGGCCATATTTATTTGCGTAAAGGCCCTGCACATGCCCTTATTCTGCAGCCACAAAAATGGACATTTGGCAGGAGACACATAATTCAGTAGCTTTGCAACAGAAGTCACCATATCCTGAAGTCAATCACCTGGACTTGTTTATGCGGCTGCTTTTTTGCTCTCCAATTTTCACAAGCGAACTACACTGAATTGCAGCGCACACACTCTATACAACTCCCTATATCACACATGCAACTTAGAGCTAGTGAGTGACCAAGAGAATGAAGAGTAGAAACCAGAAGCATAGACTGGCAACCTGAGCTACCTGGGACATAATACAGCAAACACAGTCCCAAGAAAGGGAGCCACTGATGCCAGTTGCTCTCTTTCATTAGACATATTGCCTAGAAAAGGAGGAAACATTCCAGGCTGCTTGGATATCACGATAGGATCCAAGGGCCAGCAAAGAGAATCAGGCAGGCTTGGGAACATTAAGCAAAAAATGCAGTGAAAGAAAATAGTCATTTGTGAATTTTACATCAATGACCGTTTTCAAATAAGCTACAGTAATGAGCTTGCACATGGAAATAGGTATGCATGAAAGCTATACTATGGGGAGGGCAGGGGAAAGTAAAGTAGATTAATGTTGATGTAGAATTAAGTCCGACTGTTCAGATTACATAGGGTCTTGATTATGTAGGCAAAAAAATAAAGAATTAGACAGTATTTGAGTCTGCAAATGGCTACATCATTAGTTACACAATTATATTCTAGAGCTGCATATTTATCATCATTCATATACTACCACAGCTGTACACTGTGTTTCAGAACACAAAGAGCATGCCAAAGAGAACATTTACAATGTCATTTCTCTGTCTTCTTTTTCTGCTCTCAGAAAACGACGACAACAACAAAAAGCAGCCTTGAATGTAAATTCAGTAGGTCCAACAGAGAAGTGCATATTTGGCAAAGGAAAGACTAATGGCAGCACAAGACATGTTCTTTTGAGACATTAAATGTTTATTGTAATAGTCTAAAGCATGCCCGAGAACAACACGGGAAGTTTAGAAATTATTTATGATTATTCTGGCTGGACCCGAGACAAGATTTCTATAATACTCTTAACTATCCAATTTTGAAAGAAAATAACTGGTCTAAAATCTGACCCCAATTTGAATCCTTAACTTGCATCTGCTGCTCTTTAAAACAGCAACGGGGCTTATTTCTAGAGGATCAATTAGGTCATTGTACATTTAGATTTACTAGTCAACTGGGGTTGCCTTCTACCCCACTAATGAGTACAAGTTTATGCCACAAGAGTTTCATTGAAACAGATTAGAACAGACCACCCCTGAATAGACTCCAAGGTTTGCTAGTCATACACGCTATCCCCATCTGTTAAGACCTCCCCTTCCCTCCACCAGACACACACTGCTCTTGTTGATATACTACATGGGATAAATCCAAACGTGGTTCTGCAAGGTTGGGACAAGCTAATCTAGAGAGCTGCTGAAAACAGAAGAGACCAAGCATATTACTGACCAGTATACAAACACAACTGATTAGTTTTTCCAGTTTCAATGAAGTCAGCATTTCATTATCAACAGCATCAAAAGATGGCTAATGGACTCATTTATATGAGCATAAACATCTTGGTCTCTGGTCCTTGTTAAGAGATAGATAGACCAGTGCAGTACGTGGACCAAGCTCTGTTCCAAACCACAAATAGATAATGAAAAAAATACAAAGAAATCAGAAGCTCATCCTAATAACTTTCCCACAAAAGGAAGTTTTTCTTCCCCTGAAGTAAACATTAACAACCCTCAAGAGCTTTGGATTCTAGGCCTGTCCCCAATAACTTCCACCTACCACAACAGGCAGAGAATGATTTCACAGGTAGCTGAATGAACTTTATCCTACACACTCAAAACACTCAGGTTCCCAAGCTATAAAAACAAGCCAACTACCAAAGCAAACATGTTCTACCCTTCTTGCTCTGACATTGCATATGTGGAACTAGAGAGGCTGCCCTGTTTCCTACAGATCTTATTTCACAGTGAAAAATATTCAGCGCTGAAACAAGGCAGTCTGGAGTAGACAGATGGTTCACTACTTAAAACGGTTTCACTATCAACAACATGATAATGGCATTCCTCCTAAAACTGCCAATCTGCACCCAATACTTGAGTGCCTTACAAGCAGCAAGGCTGGGAATGCAAAAGAACGATAACATAAGTTAACAGGAGACTTTTCTAAATAAATCAGTTTTAAAAGTGACCTCTCTCATGCTCCAAACCCTGACCCAAGACCAAACAAAGCAAAAGGAGGTAAATCATTCAGGAAGGTATGTGTTGCCACAAGCGGTGACGACAGCAAGTTCAATTATTTAGTAAGCGATTGAATGGTTCACCCGTTGCTTCTCCCAGTCACACAAAAAAATGTGAGGACGACCCATTCAGGAGCGGGTGGGTAACAGTGGGAGCTAGTCAGGTCCAAAACCAAGCAGCCTTTCCTAGGGCTAAGGGGCACTGCTCTCTTACAAGCCCTTTCTCTGCCTGTGAATCCTTTCCTAGGGGCACAGGCTCCTCAGGGGCAGCTCCCCCAGGGAACACAGCACCAGAGCAGCTCCAGCCCCATGCTCACCCTCACCTTTGCCTGTGGACACCAGGATGTCGTGGGGTCTCCGCTCCCCCTGAAAAACAAGAGGTGGGTGTGTAGGGCACTTCCCCAGGCTCGGGCGTGGCGGAGGATGGTACTGACCGGGGCCAGGGACCACAGCCACCCCTGCCTCTACCCCAGGGGCCGCCGCCCGGCCGGCCCGAGCCGCGGGGTCCTGCGCCGGGGACGGGGTCTGGAGATGAGGCCCCACTGCCGTCCCCAGGCTCCCATAGCCTCGCAGCAGCAGTCGACCCGGCGAGGAACTGGGCGCAGCCCTGGGAGCCACCACCTCCCGCAACAGCAGCAGAAGCGGCAGCAGCGGGAGGAGAAGGAGTGCCGTGCCCCCCCACCCCGGGACCCTCAGAGCCCGAACCCAGTCACAGTCACAGGCCCCGCCCGGCCCCCCCCCCCCCCCCCCCCCCCCGGCAGCCGCTGCCACCTCCGTCAGCTGCTGCCAACCCCGCAGCGCAATAAAGTCTCCGCCCATTGGGCCGCTCCCGCCCCCAACAAGCGCCGCGCTGATTGGCTGCTCCTCCGCCCCCGCGCGCGCCGGGACCAGAGCGCCAGGTACCCGGGCTGGAACACGAAACTCGGCTTCTCTGAATGGTCTCGCAGCAGTTAGCGCCGCGGAACCTGCTTGCCTGCCAGCGTTTCCGGCCGGACTCGTTGGGACGCGCACTTCCGGTTCCGGGTGCACGGTGCCCGCAGGAGGGTCGCGGAGCGGACAGGTATTGGGAAGAGGTCATGCCCGGGCCTCGCGCCCCTGCCCTCAGGCCCAGGCTGCTGCGCTCCCTGCAGCCGTGGCTCTCCTGGGGCTGAGCAGCGCGGGCCCAGGCTGGCGCTGCCCAAACTTCTCAGCACGGCCCCGTTTATGGCCCATTTCTTCAACGCGGCCTCTCGCTCCCGGCCCGCAGCCCCGCGTCCCGTCCCCCCAAATCCCCCCCCCCTCCCCCCCGGAATGTTGTCTCCCCGCCACGTGGGTTCACAACCCACAGTTTGGGAACCGCTGCCCTAGACCCAACAGTGGGGCGGACCGGACTGGGTATCGGGGCCAGCTCGTGCCTCTGCGTGCACGGCTTGGTGCCACATCCAGAGGCCTCGGCCCCAGAAAGGTTCAGCGAGCACCAGCATGTTTGCACGTTAGTGGCTCTTTGACCTTGGCCTGTCACCAGTGCCTGTGCACAGCTGGGAGGGCTCAGCTACTCTCACCCCAGATTTTATTTATTGTAATGGTAACTGCAGGGCAAAAAAGAGTTACACCATGTTGTCTTTGCTAAGAAAAATGGTGCCTCATTAAAGGATGAGAGGTGATCATGGGGGCACTTCTTGCCAGCCTTATGGGCTTGGATAATCCTCAGCGTTTCCTAAATAGGATTGACATTAAAAGTAAAATTTGTTTATTTATTTAAAGTAGCGATTCCCTATCGAGTTGGCTGTGCACTCACTGCAGGACTGCTGGCAGTTCACTAGTGAGACGGTGCTTGTGCCCTTTTTGTTTCCTGATGCAAAGTTAGGCTACAGAAATTGCAAATGCATGAAGTGATCTTATTCTGTGCTTCAGGGCAGCGGTTTTCAACCTTTTTTGAATAAGGGAACCTCCAGCAGCCCTCTTCTTAGTAAATGTACCCCCAGGGAGGGGTTGGCAAGCAGCCGGAGCTGAACAGAGTGGGTTGTGAGCAGCCAGACACAGAGTGGGGATGTGGTCAGTGGCAGAGCAACAGCAGCACAGCATCTGTGAGACCCTGCTCTTGTGAAGCAGTGGCACGGGGTGGCAGCGCTCCGCCCCCGCCTACCCCCACGTACTCCCTGGGACCTTTCAGAGTACCCCTAGGGGTACGCATACCCCTGGTTGACAACCCCTGCTGTAGGGCAATTGCTGGAGTTACCACAGGGATTTTATACAAATGGTGGCCTGTGAGGCAATATCAGTAAGGAATAGCGTATATATTGTGGCCTGTTCAATGCTGGAGATTATATTATCATAAGTATTCCTGTTAGCCATAAAGCTGTTAACCTGTTATTTGGATTAAGGTTTGAAATATTCTCCTACTGCAATCAGTTTATCTGTCTAGTGTGATTGTCAAAACCAGTTCTCGTGTACTATCTAATTTGTGGTTAGAGTATTGGTGTATAAAGATTCTTGAGGACCTTTGATATTTCTTTTAAATATCTACAAAAGAAAAATGGGGCTGATTCCTCACCAGGGATCCTTGTTTTCTCTGATAATCCCTAAAATCTGTGAATAAAATGAAACACCACTCATATATATCAATTGAACACAATGCTTTCATGATATATTTACAATTTTAAAGCAATTTGGAAGCCTCCTAGTGCCTCAATCACTATAATAAAATAAATTCTAAACCTAAAAATTTTGGTATTGATTTTTGGTTTTTATTGTGGAAAAATCAGAGCTCCCCCTGCCCCTTCACTCACAGAACACAGATCCAGGCCCCTCACTCCCAAGCCACAGCCCTCCTGGCCCTGCTGGTGCCAGTCACCCCCTTCCCATAGCCCCCTGCCTCCCCAGTCCTGCCAGAGGGGGCCCCCAGCTGCCAGGGCTATGGGGCCAAGGACCTGGGTCTGCAGCCTGCTGCCCCCTGTAGCAGCACCTGAGCCCTGACTGCCACCCATGGCTCATTCCCTCCCTTCCTATGGGGGCCACAATCCCCACTTCCCCCCGCCAGACTTACCTGCAGGAGCTGTTCTCCAGGCTGCCTGGCAGCCATGTGCATGAGCCTTCTTCCCGCTCCCCAACCCCTTGCAGGCTGGAACTCTGCCAGCCCCTAGAGAGCCCTTTGCAAAGAGTTTAATGAAAAAGCTGTGTTTTTCTCAGGTAAAAGGTGAAATCCGCATTTTTCTCCATTTTCCTGTGGGAAACAGAAACCCAGATCCCTGCCCATCATGCAGTGAAGATAATGAATTAAGCCCTTTGAGTGAAGCACTTCCCTTCCCTGTGTACACAATATCCAACTACAGCCATTTCCTTCCCCAGAAGTGAGCTTTAAAAGGGGCTTCCAGTGTCCCATAAATATCAACAGATGTGTGCTCCTACCTTTCCTTCATTAGTCTGACATAATTCAATTAAAGCTCTCAGACCCCTTTCCTTTGAATTTAGTTTACATGCTTTTGCTGATGGTATTGCTTGTAGAGAGAGGTGGTCTGTCAAATGAGCAAGTAACATCTGTTGAAGCTGACATGCAAATTGCCATATATCCCAATTCCCTTGCGGATGCAATGTTACATGCATTCTGAAATTAAATAGTGGCATTTCAAATAATATCTACAAAAAGTAAGAATTGCTAAGTTTAGTTATTAAAACAAGCTCTATCATAACTGAAATAAAAGGCAATGTAAATATCAAAGTGAAGAAATAAAAAATGAGCTAGATAAAACAACAAGATTAGGCACAGATGTAATTAGTGATCTGTGTGTCATTTGCCACAACTCTGGTAATTTTAAACATGCTTTAATCTGGCCCAAGCAAGGGAAGGGGTAGAAGAGGATGTTCAATATTAGTGGTGCACCGATATGTCGGTCTGATATCAGATTGGCACCAATATAAAGAAAATTGACTATTATCGGAAATCAGCCTGATGTGGCCAGTAATTTGACCAATAAATGCCCGTGCATGCCCACAGCCGCAACGCAGCACGTAGGCAGCAAGAGCGCAGGCCAGCAGCTTGGAGAGCTAGCTGTGTCCAGCTGGTAAGTCTGTTGTAGTAGAAGAGGAGGGAAGGGGTATGGGGGGGCAGATCAAGGCCCCTGCAGTGAGGGAGGGAGGGAGGTTGGGGCATGTGCTGCCAGGGCAGGGTGTAGGATGGAGCAGCAGCTTGGGGGGGGGCATGACACAGCTCATGCAGATCTGGGGGCACATGCCCCCTTCCAGAGCCTTGATCTGCACCCCCATGTCCCTTCCCACCCCCTCCCCCCTTCCCTTCCACCACAACAGACTTACCAGCTGGACACAGCTCTTCAAGCTGCTGGGCTGCGTATCAGAAATCAGATCAGTATCAGCCGATATGTCTCCTTAAAAATCGGCTATCAGTATCAACCCCCAAAATTTCTATCGGTGCACCCCTATTCAGTATACTGTCAAATGCCATTTTGGTGGTGATTTTTGTTTGTTTGTTTTTGTTGAGTTACCTATATGTCTACTTTATCACTATTTTTTGACATTCTTATTTTAACCTAATTTATCTCCTGATTTCTAGGTTCCTGCAGGACATCTTGCTGATTAATCGTTTGATGTTTTATCTTTTTTTGTTAGTTTCCAGTACTTTGATAGGTCTAGCCTCACTGACTGCATTGGAGACTGCACGGTTGTACTGAACCACAAAACAGGTACTGGCAGCAGCAATACAAGTCTTCCCTTGTCAAAGTATTTCATCCTTGTTATACAGGGACTTCATTTAGATCGCTGATTCTCAGCCAGGGTGCCCCTGAAATTCTTTGAAGTGTGCCTAGTAGGTGTGAGGAGATGAGCACAGGCTCAGGCTCATCCCTGTCTGGCTGTTGCTCTAAACCCATTGCCAGCTCCTCGGCAAGCAGATAAGCACTATAGCAAATCAGTTTTTGAAATGGGGTGCCACTCAATTCACAAAATTTATGGAGGTGTGCCTTGAATCTACTGAGGGGTGCGTTAAGCCTAAATAGGTTGCAAACCACTGACTTAGAGATTCACATCTTTTATGGTCCGTGTAGAGCAGGCAAAGAGGTTGCCAGTTTTGAAAGTCAAAATTGTTCCCAGACACTTAAGTCAAATCTCACTCTGGTCTTCCCTATTTCTTTTAGATGCAGAAATAATCTAAAGAGGTTAAAAAAAAATCAGATGAGAGACGGTGCCATTTTTATGTTTTTTTTGTTGAGATCTTTGATAAAATATAATTTTTCTGCTTTTTAAAACCAAGAGTCAAGTTTAACTTCTCTTTTATTTTTTTCAATGTTTTAAAAAACATGCAGGTTTCCCTAACAGGAACTAAACTAGTTTCAATAGGTTAGGAAGAAGAGCCATGATGGAGAAATATTTAGAATAAT